CTGCTTGGCCTGCTGTGTTCATCCAGCTCTACACCTTGTTGCCTCGGATTCTCCAGCATCTGCAGTTCCTACTATCTCTCCAGAATGTCACCTGGCTCGCTGGATTAACAGCCTAGTGTTAATACCACTAGGCCATCAGCTCCCTCTGCCCACCTTCACTTACCAGTTTGGAATGCCCAGCTTGGATTGGCACCTGCTCCATGATCCAAGTGGCTGCATTGTACATCATCACCCGGCCATCACTCAGACCACACCACAGCTTCGGGTGTGTATCAGCGCTCTCACACGGGTCCAGGTTACCTGGCAACAAGAAGGTCACACTGTCATTGCTACACTGACCACAGGGACGCAACAACATTGCGCATTCATGTAGCCCCCTCAACAGTTAAACACCCCCAGGCATCTCACAGGGCTGTTAGCAAGCAAACCTCGCTATAGGATCACAAGAGATGATATTAAGACAGACGGGCAAAAGTGTGGTTGAAAAATAATCCTCCAAAGTTTTCTTTTTAACAAATTACCCTATTCCCCTCTCATGCTGAAATGTTAATGGCACAATTTCCCCAGTGATGGGAGAAGTGGGATTGTGTTTTATATGAAACAGCTGCAAAGAAAATATCAACCAACACAAAACCGACCAAAGGAGCCCCTCCAAAAAAAAAACACAGACTGCAGTATTATAAAAGAGGGCAAGGCGGGTGGAAAGATTTCACGAAGGGTATTTCGGAGCTCAGGGACTAGGCAGCTAAAGGAAAGGCCACCAATGGGTGCTGAAGAGGCCAGAGTTGGAGGAGATTGCAGAGAGACGGAAGGGCAAGGCTTTGGAGGATGGGAAACTCAAATGAGAATGTTAAAATCAAGGATTTGCTTGACCAGGAGCCAATGTAGATCAGTGCTCTGAGTGAAATAATGTTTAAGGGGTAGAAAGAGTCAGAAGTCATGTTGGAAAATTGGTACAAGTTTAATTTCAATTGAGCAAAATGAACAAAATAGATTGTGAGGCAATCTATTGAAGTCAGATGTGCTGTGGGAGAGTGAGCCACAGAACCAGTGGTAACTTAGCCCAAAGGACAATTTCAAAAGTGTTGACATGGCCCCGATCTCTGATCTTATCCTATTTGAGCCCAGTTCAGTTCCGTTACCTACAGAGAACGATGTTGTCATGTGACAATGCCACACTACCCTGAGCTGGGTATTTGCAGCAACAACAAGAGATTGGACATTGAAGGGGATTACAGCATCAGTTCGCTCTGACTGATACTGGGTCCAATAGATTCAATTGCAAAGTGAGGTTTCAGAAATTTGAGTTTAGAAAGTAAAGGGATGCTCTGATTGAGATGATAAAATGGTAAAGGAATTTGATAATGCCTGATTGGGTGGGGGAGGGCGGGGGATGGAGTTCAGAAAACAGTCCAGGACCTTAAAACGAAAGCTGGAACCATTCAGGGGTCATGCCAGGTAATACTTTTATACAGAGGGGGAGTGGAAATCTGGGAGTCTCTCCCCCTCTAAAAGTTACACCTGTCAGTCAGAGAAACGAGTCGAGTTGTCAGGGCTCAGATCGATCAAGGTTTGTGGGGGTAAGGTATAGAATGACATGACATAATGGCACGTAAAACAGAGCTGTGATCTGAATCAGCCATTACCCCACCAAATCAAGGAGCAGGTTTGAGGGGCTGAATGGCTTCCTCTTCTAAGTCTCATTTCTGTTCAGGGCAGGAGCTGAAGACATTTGGTGAGTTCTGCTCCTGAGACTATCACCTGGTCAAAAAGCAATGCCTTTACGTTTCCACAGCGAGAGAGTCGGGTGAGGCTGAGGGAGGTTATTGAAGAAGACCATCTAGGGAATGGCAGTGCGAGGGAACCATTCTGCCCGTGTAGCCCTCGGGAAAAGCCAGTCAGCCACTTACCAGGAACATATAGCAGGACATCAACCGCGTAGGGGGTAGAATTAGAATCAGTGAGGTGAAGGGTGTGCTTCAGGGCATCTGACGTCATCCGTGGAAGAGCGGGTGGCTCTGAGGTGGAAAAGGAAAAGAGTTGTTAGGAAAGAAATGTCTCAGGAATGTTCTGATCCATTTACCCCATCTCTGTCCCTGTGCCCTCTGCTGGTTCAGAATGTGTGGAGGAACACTGGAGAGTGACCTCACACTGAGGGCCAGACGTAATGTCTGGGTCAGTGAGAATCTCTCGCTTTTTGGACTCTGCTTGACATTGTTTGTCTGTGATTTCGAATCCAGTCATTCTGAAACCACTCAAAGAACTCAAGACTGTGCCTTAGATGGGATCAGCTGGAGCCCAACGGGGGCTCTCTTGTCTCTGAGTCAGAGGATCCAAGGTCCAGTCCAAAGACTTGAGCCCACACATTAGGCTGAGAGAGGCTTACACTGGGAGAGATGGCACAGATCGCTTGAGATGGTAAATGGAGTCCCACTTGCTCTCTCAAGGGGATGTGAAAACTCACACAAGGCTGTTCCAGGGAAGGGAGGGGCAGGGAGGAACACCGCAGAAGTTATAGAGACATACAGCACGGAAACAGACCCTTCGGTCCAACTAGTCCAGGCCAACCATGTTCCCAAACTAAAGTAGTCCTGTTTGCCTGCTCCTGGCTCATATCCCTCCAAACCTTTCCTATTCATGAACTTATCCAAATGTCTTTAAAACGTTGTAACTGTACCACACCTCCCACTTTCTCTGGCAGTTCATTCCACATATCAACCATCCTCTGTGTAAAAAAAGTTGTCCTTTTTAAAACTTTCTCCTCTCACCTTAAAAATACTCCCCTTGTAGTTTTGAACTCTTCCATGCTAGGGAAAAGACCCTTTCCATTCACCTTATCTATATGCCTCATGATTTCACAAACATCAATAACCCCTCAACCCCCTAAGCTCCAGCGAAAAAAAGTCCCAGCCTACCCAGCCTCTCCTTATAACTCAAACCCTTCATTCCCAGCAACATCCTGGTAAATCTTTTCTGAACCCTCTCCAATTTAATAATATCCTTCCTATAACAGATTGACCAGAACTGTACGTATTGATGTCAGTGAATCTTTCTGTGCACAATTTGGTTGTTGCCTTACTTACATCATTTCAATTGAACAAAATGAACAAAATAGATTGTGAGGCAATCTACTGAAGTCAGATGTGCTGTGGGAGACCGAGCCACAGAACCAGTGGTAACTTAGCCCAAAGGACCATTTCAAAAGTGTTGACATGGCCCCGATCTCTAATCAGTGAATTTACTTCAAACAGTGTGGTTCTGGAAGATACTGCAGAAACAAACTTATCTTTTTAAACAAAATCTGAAAGAACCGCGGATGCTGTAAATCAGAAACAAAAACAGAAATTGCTAGAAAAGGTCAGCCGGTCTGGCAGCGTCTGTGGAGTTTTTGTTACTTCTTTAAAAGGCTGGCGCACTAATGACTTCAGGCCACCAGGAGGAGTGAACAGTGAAACCAGCTTGAAAAAGGTGCTACATAAATGTACGTCATTACCTTTGCCTACTGGTCCCAGTTATTATCGATTGCATAGACACAAAGAGTATTGAACAGCTGGTTGTGACTTTACCTTGTCCAGCTGTTTGGTCCAGGTATGCCAGTTTGGAAGCGACGGTCATGGGGCGTTGGTGAAAGCTACATTTGGCCACGGCATTGATGAGCTGGATGTTGCTGAGTGCCTGTTGAATGTACTGAGGGTCCTGCACAGAGGGTGGGAGAGATGAGGCAGGGAGACAGTGGTAGTGAAGAATCTCATCAGACAACAAACCCAGCACCTTCCACACCAAAAAAAATCAAACCTGCCTCAACACCTCCTCGCTGCGGGCTTCACTGTGGCTGGGCAGGTGGGGAATGCCACTGACTGATGGGTGGCTGAGTCACAGGGCAGGGGGTTGTCCCAGATCTGGGGGTTAGTTTGGGGATAATTGGGATGTTCCAGGTTGCTTCAATTTGCTTGGATGAGGGATACAGTAGCTGCAGCTGGGAGCTACCTGTGTGTGATTCCCACAGCAGATAACAGGACCAGCCCAGCTCTGATACACTCCTTCATCAATTAATCTGCGATACTCCCGTGTTAGGAGTGTAGAGGGGGTGAGCTGGTGAAAACTTTGTCAGGATGATTTCCAGCACTGGCCAGCACAGAGGAAGGGATGGTAGGAAACTGGGAATGAGATTGAATTGTGCATTGGAAATTCACCCCACTTCAACCCCGGCCCACTAACAGTTCAGGTGAAACGGGCAGGTTGGAATCCGTACCATTTCCAGGCTTCTCAATACAAGCAAAAGCAAAATACTGCAAATATTAGAGATCTGAAATAAACACAGAGAATGCTGGAGAAACTCAGAAGGTCTGGCAGCAATTGTGGAGAAAGAAAAACAGAGTTAACGTTTCAGGTCCAGTGACCCTTCTTCAGAACTGAGTCATAGCAGACTTGAAATGTCAACTGTGTTTCTCTCTCCACAGATGCTGCTGAGTTTCTCCAGCGTTCTCCGTGTCCATTTCAGATTTTCCAACATAGTCCTTCTGGCAGCCAGTCCCTGCCCCAACATTGCGACCATTCATACTATCCCTCCTCCCACAACTCAGACCTCAGTGAATAGGGGCAGCTGAACGCTGGGGTAAAACCAGCTCTCCTTTTGATTAATAAAGAGGCTCTTGCAAGGGTTCAGACACAGTGTACTGCACCAGGAGGCTGATATAATTCTCATGTCAGTACTGGAACACATTGTGTTGTGATCTCATGGGGTTTACAGTCCACACACGAGCCCGGTGAAGTCTCAGATTCCAACCCCTCACTAAACCCTTCTTCACTGGCTGCTACTGGGAACACTCAGACAATGAAACGAGTGTGTGTTTTTAATGTGGGTTTTGGGGGGAGAGGGTTTGAGGTGTTGGGCAAAGAGGTGGCTCGTTTCAGCTCTAAAAGTGGTTGTGTCTCTCGATGATCTGCAGTTGCTGCCACTGTGGGTGTTGGTGGGGGTGGGGAGGATGTTAGCAAGACTCTGGGATTGACTGCAATAGGACACTGGCGTGTGGAGATGCCCTGGAGCAGAGCAGTCTCTGTCTCTTCGCCAGGCACTGGGCAGCAAGGTAAGAGTCTGCAGTGAAGCAGTCAAAGGCCAAATGTAACAAAATCTTGACAACATCCAGGCTTGGGCTGACAAGTGGCAAGTAACATTCACGTCACACAAACACCAGGCAATGGCCATCACCAATAAGAGACAATCTAAACACCGCCCTTCAATGGTCTTACCATCACTGAATCCCCCACTATCAACAACATTGGGTTACCATTGACCAGAAACTCAACTGGACTCACCACATAAACACAATGGCTATGAAAGCAGGCCAGAAGCTAGGAATACTGCGGTGAGTAACTCATCTCCTGACTCCCCAAAGCCTGTCCCACCATCTACAAGGCACAAGTCAGGAGTGTGATGGAATACTCCCCACTTGCCTGGATGGGTGCAGCCCCAACAACACTCAAGAAGCTTGACACCGTCCAGGACAAAGCAGCCGCTTGATTGGCACCACATCCACAAACATCCCACTCCCTCCATCACCGACACTTAGTAGCAGCAGTGTGTATGAGACACACTGCAGAAACTCACCAAAGATCCTCAGACAGCACCTTCCAAACCCACGACCACTGCCATTTAGATGGACAAGGGCAGCAGATAAATGGGAACACCACCCCCTGCAGGTTCCCCTCCAAACCACTCACCATCCTGACTTGGAAATATATCGCTGTTCCTTCAGTATTGCTGGGTCAAAATCCTGGAATTCCCTCCCTCAGGGCATTGTGGGTCAACCCACAGCAGGAGGACTGCATGGTTAGAGAAGGCAGCTCATCCTCACCTTCTCAAGGCACATCTAGGGACGGGCAATAAATGCTGGCCAGCCAGTGACACCCACACCCACAGATGAATTAGAAAGAACACTGGTTGGGTTGGATCATATTGTAGGAGGTTTTGCCATGTGTTTGCATCCTCCTGCCATCAGCTCATCCTGATACAACAATCTGTCAATGATGGTCCTCACTGTAATCAGAACCCCCAGAATCCTGCCAGCTCAAAGAGGTGAAACGTTATCAAGGGGTTGGCAAGAATATGAGTCACCTGATCAGCCAAGGTCTGACCAAACGGGACAGCAGGTTCGGGAGGCTGAGTGGCCTAGTCCTGCCCTGGATTTGTGCGTGCATATGGCTGTTTTTAACCCCGTTGCACCGTTGCATGGATTCAGCTGAGGGCTCCAACACCGCCCAGGGAGGTGATGGCTTGCTGTTCCTCATGAGGATGAGTCTAGACAGGGGCAGGAGGAAGAAACATCCTGGAATATTTCTCCTGGGATTGCTGGCCCAAACATCTGGAAAACTCAGCTGTTAATTCTGGGAAACTCTTGGAATACTGGCGATTTCATCTTGACCCAAAGCTTTGATAATGCCTAGCGACCCAGAAATTGGAGGCCAGAAATAACCTGCAGTGGGACCTCATTCAACACCCAAGGATTGAGGAACCTGAATGGCCCACAAGCCTGCTCCATTACTCAACATGATCAAGGCTGGGCTTTTATTTCAACTGCACCTTCCTATATAATCCCTTTATCTCTCCAATCCTGAAAATCCATTGAGATCAGACTGGAATGCACTCTCTAGGGTGGAGAATTCCAACCCTTCGAGTGAAGAAATTTCTCCTCATCTCAGTCTTAAATGATTGGCCTCTTCTCCTGAGACTGTGTCCGTGTATTCTAGATTCTCTACAGACAGGAGATACAGTCTCTCTGTATTTGTCCTGGAAATAATGTCTTAAGAATTTCACAGGTTTCAATTAGATCACCTTTCATTCTTCTATAGGGTTGGCTATACAACTACAGACAGAAGCAGGTCATAGAGTCATAGATTCATATAGTAATACAGCATGCAGACCCTTTGGCCCAAACTGGTCCATGCTGACCATGGCACCCACTCAGCTAGTTCCAATTGCCTGCATTTCGTCCATATCCCTCTAAACCCTTCTCATCCATGTACTTATCCAAATGTTTTTTAAATGTTGCTATTGTATCTGCCTCAACCACTTTCTCTACAGTCCATTCCATATACGCACCACTCTCTGTGTGAAGAAGTTGCTCCTCATGTCTTTCTTAAATCTTTCCCCTCTCACCTTAAGCCTATGCCCTGGGAAAAAATTTATATGCATTCATCCTATCTATGTCCCTCATGATTTTATACATCCCAATAAGGTAATGCCTCATCCTCCTATGTTCCAAGGAATAAAGTCTTATCCTGGTCAACCTCTTCCTATAACTCAGGCCTACTAGCCCTGGCAACATTCTCGTAAATCTTCTTTGCACACTTTCCAGTTTAACAATGTCATTCCTACAACAGTGTGACCAAAACTGTACACAAAACTCCAAATGTGGCCTCACCAATGACTTATACAACTGTAACTTAACGTCTCAATTCCTATACTCCATACCTGGACTGATGGCCAGCATGGTAAATACCTTCTTCACCACCCTGTCTACCTGTGACGCTGCTTTCAACGAACTATGTACTTGTACTCCTAGGTCCCTCTGTTCCACAACACTCCTCAGGACCTTACCATTTACTGTATAAATCCTACCTTGGTTTAACTTTCCAAGTGCAACACCTCACACTTATCTGTATTGAATTACATTTACCAATCCTCAGCCCATTTCCCCATCTGATCAAGATCCCTCTATAATTTTTGATAATCTTACTTGCTATCAACAATACTTCCTAATTCTGTATCATCCGCAAACTTACTAATCATGCCTAGTACATTCACATCCAAATCATTTACTTAAGTAACAAATAACAAAGGTCCCAGCACCGACCCCTGTGACACACCATAGTCACAGGCCTTCAGTCCAAGAAACAACCTTCAACCATCTCCCTCTGCTTCCTACCATCGAGCCAATTTTGAATCCAATTAGCTCGCTCTCCCTGGATCACATGCGACCAAACCTTCATTACTAGCCTGCCATGCGGGAACTTGTCAAAGGCCTTACTAAAATCCATATAGATAACATCCACTGTCCTATCCTCTTCCATCGTCTTGGTTATCTCTTCGAAAAACTCTCAAAGACTTGTCAGACAGACATGACTTCCCATGCACAAATCTATGCTGACTATCCCTAATCAGACCTTGACTATCTAAATGTTGATTGATCCTGTCCCTCAGTATCCTCTCCAATAACTTGCCTATCACTGATGTCAGGTTCACTGGCCTGCAGTTCCCTGGCTTGTCTTTGCTACCTTTCTTAAACAATGGAACAACATTAGCCACCTTCCAGTCTTCCGGAACTTCACCAGTGGCTAAAGATGAGGCAAAACCCTCTGCTAGGGCCTCTGCAATTTCTTCCCTAACCTCCCACAATGTCCAAGGATGAACTTGATCAGGCCCAGAGGATGTATCCACCTTAATGTGCTTTAAGGCTGCAAACACCTCCTCTCTGGTAATGTGCATGCAGTCCAAAACATCTCCACTTGTTTCCCTTATTTCCTTAGCATCAATGATTCTCTCCTCAGTAAACACAGAGGTGAAATATTCATTAAAAATCTCCCCCATCTCCTGTGGCTCCACATAGATGGCCATACTGATTTTTAAGGGGACCTATTGTCTCCCCAGCCACCCTTTTACTCTTAATATAGCTATAGAACATCTTGGGATTATCTTTAACCTTATCTGCCAGATCCATCTCATACCGTCTTTTTACTCTTCTGATTTCCCTCTTAAGTGTGCTCCTATACTTTTTATAGTCATTTAGGGATTCACTTGAGCCTGATAGCTTAAACCCATTGTATGCCTTCTTCTTTTTTCCTGACCAGAGCCTCAATATCCTTCATCAGCCAGAGATCCCTAAACCTGCAGCTTTTCCTTCACCCTAACAGGGTGCACCGTTCACACTGAGATTTCAATGCTTTAGGCTTAGCTGCCCCCAATCTCACCTTGTGCCTATCTGCCAGAAACTTTCCTGCACACATCTCCCGAATGATCACCTTCCACAGGTCCCGCTCTGACTTGAGGTTGGCGACGAAGGGCTCCTTCTTGTCCCGCACCTTGATCTTCAGGGCCAGAATCTTCAGAGGGAAGATGGATACTGGCAAACAGAACTCCACTTCCTGAGAATGACAAAAAGATGGAGTCAGCCATATCTGATCTAAATGCACATGGATGGTGTGAAACAGCAGTGGATAATCTTTGTTACTGTTACTGGACTGCGACTTATTTCTAGCCTTGACTATTCTAAATTTTTCCTGCCAATCTCTCAATTATTGGTAAGCTTGAGCTCATTTTAAATGTTGCTACACATATCCCACCTCATTCCCGTTATTCCCTGTGCTCACTTCAAAATGGCCTCCCCACGCAACTGTCTCCTCCAGAGCTGACCATTCCAACACTTTCCTGGCCAGCCTTCTATCTTCCAATCTTAGCTGCCCACACCAAGTTCCTTTCATCCAATCACCTGCTGAGCTCACTCATCTATATTGGCTCCTGGTCAAACAATGGATTATCTCCCCAGCCTTTTGTTCAAATCCCCCCATGGCCTACTCCATCCTCTCTCTTGAACTCCTGATCATTGACTCCCTATAGTGTGGAAGCAGGCCATTCAGCCCATCGAGCCCACACCAACCTTCCAAAGAGCATCCCACCCAGACCCACTCCACTCCCCTACCCTACCCTACCCGACCCTACCTCTGGGACACTGCAATTCCCATGGCCAATTCACCTAGCCTGTATATCTTTGGACTATGGGAGGAAACCAGAGCAAACCCACGCAGACACGGGAAGAATGTGCAAACTCCACACGGACAGTCACCCGAGGTGGAATCGAACCCAGGTCCCTGGCACTATGTGTCAGCAGTGCTAACCACTGAGCAACCGTGCCGCGCCATCCTCACAGATATCCTCCAGTGCTCGAGTTCCTGATTTGAATCTCTCCATCAGTGGCAAACATATTGAGAGTTAGGGTTTGGGAATTCATTTTACTTCACCTTCCTCCTTTAAAACCTACCACTTTGACAAAGCTTTCAGTCCTCAGAGTTAACATTTCCCTTCTGTGGTTTGGGTGTTAATTTTGTTTATAGTTGCCCCTATGAAACATCTTGAGATAGCTTCCTAGTCCCCATCACTGAGGCTAACTTTCAATTCCATATTTCTTAAACAAATTTAAATTCCTTCAGCTGCTGGGCCCATGGGCCCAGGGCATTAACCTGAACTTCTTGATGTCTAGACCAGCGACATTATGATTGCTCCCCAATCTCTCTTTAAGACAATAATGGGGTAAAGGTAGAGAACATTATTCCTTATATGGTTCAGTCCAGAACTGGGAGGTCTAAATATTAGACAATCACAGGTAATTCCAATGAGGATTGGTGGGAAAGTGGGACCTGCTCCCACTGGGAATGGTCAAGGTGAACAGTTTCGAAACACGCAAAGAGTGAAGCACACCTAAAATGGACAGATATGTTGATGGTGAGATGATGTATGGCCATAGGAGGCTTTATAAAATTCCGAGCTGGAGTGACAGAGACAGCATTTGTTCCTCTATCGCTGTCAAACCATACCTCGATGTCCCGGAAACGAGCAATCTCCTTGCAGTAAGGGTGTGCCTCCATCAACAGGAACAGGCGTTTCTGACTCAGCACCACACGGCCCAGGCCGTAGCTGGTCTTCACGGGGTTCGACACCTTTGAGATTCGCTCGTTTTCCAGTAGATTCTTCATGGCCTCAGGTGGCAGCGTCATGTTGTCCACCTCTGACTTAATCTCATTCCAGTGAGAGTACAGCTCGTTGAACATCTTTGGTTCAATCAGCTTCTGTTGTCCTGAAAGGAAACAATCGACAAAGAAAACATGTTTGAAATCAGCATAAGGTACGAGAGAGGCCATTCAGCTCCTTGGGATGGATCCTAACTGACCTACATCGCAATTCTATTGGCCCACCTTCACACCATATCCTTACAATGACAACTTGCATTTCACTGCCATCTTCAACAGAGTCAATCACTTCAAAGTGCTCAACAGGAGCCATTGTCAATAGAAACTTGACACTGAGTAACACGACAGGATTAGGGACTTAAAGACCAGGCTAACAATGATGGAGTGATTACAACTGGAGATGTGCAAGTGGCCAGAACCAGATGAGCCCAGGCATCTCAAAGGGTCATGAGGCTAGAGGAGATCATGGAGATAGGGAGGGGCGAGGATTTTGAAAGCAAGGACGAGAATTGCTTGCCCGGGAGTTAATACCAGTCAGTGAGCACATGGGTGAGGGTGTAATGGGACTCACTGAAGCAAGAGAGGGAGGGCAAAGTTTTGCAACCAACAAAAATCTATCCATCTCACTTCTGAAATGTTCAATTGGCCAAGATATTTTCACAGCAGAGATTTGTCACCACACTTTGTGTGAAGGACTGCTTGTTGCTTTCATTCCCAAAGAGATCGCCTCCAGTCTCAAGGTTCCATGTTTTCCCCATCCCCATTCTCTAGCAATGGATATCATTTCTTTCTATCTAGCCAGTTAAATCCTTTAATCATCTTGAACACTTTAATTAATTACCCCCTGATTTTTCTTGCCTCATCAGATTACAACTTTAGTCTTTGTAACCCATTCTTATAACATAACTCTTTACGGTGTGGGCTCATTCATGTGAATCTGAGGCCCTCCCATCCAAGGCTAGTCTATGATCTCCTGGCTGAGGTCCAGGATGGTTCCCAGAACTGAACCCAGTTACACCAGAGGGAGCTTGACCAAAGCTCTCTATAACTGAAGTATCATTTCCTCACCTTTATATTCCAGCTCCCTTGAGATAGAGGCTGACATTAAATTGGTCATTGGGATTATCTTTTATCCCTGTTCATGATCTTCTAGTGTTTTCTGCAGGACTGTTCCTCCACTGTCTCTCACTGATACTTTAAATTCACTGTGCTAACATGGAGGTTGTCGGTGGTGGGGGGTGGTGTGGGGGTGTCATTCTGATGGCCACTAACTCAATTGCCAAATTTGCACCAAATGCGTCTCACTTTGGGCCTTGCCCTGAATTGGTATCCCTGGACAAGCCAGTAGGCTGGCTGGATTTTTGCAGCCATGTGGTCTCTCATTGTTCCTGAGCATGGATGGGGTTCCTGCAGCATGCTGTGCCCACAGCTGGTTTATAAAGGATCATCCCACAGCGTCAATGACCCTTTCTTTCCAACAGCTTCTTAATTCTCTTTCCCTTGTGCTTCTCTCATTTGTCTTTGTCCCTTAACTCACCTGACTGTAGGGGCTAGAATGTGGGTGAATGGGTAAATTATATCTACAATAGTATCACGAACAATCCTGTAAGCACTTTTGTTAGATCTATTTTATGACAAACACTCTCTCATAAATGGAGAAACATTTTTATAAGTACTGTTTACATTATAATCTCTACATTGCTCCAACAAGGCACACTCTTTGGGAAGAAACCAAGACACCAATTCGACAGTCCTGTTTCCACATTGGTCAGCAGCAAGCTCTTTCAGATCAAACTGGGCCATTTCTGGTCAGTTGGTACCGTACTCACTAGTTCCCCTTGCTGTGAGGGACTGTGCCTGAGTGACCCCATGGAAGCTGGCCTTTGAGTCAGGATAAGGTGTCCAATTGTCCAAGACGGCCAACTGGCCTCACACCTGAGCGGCCAACAGCTCCCAAAGGGGAAAGCTTGGATATTCTCACCCCTGCTGCTGTTACTTGCCTCAGGAATCACCAACACATCTGACAGAATGCAGAAATTACAACCCCCTGGCAGGGAGAGGTTGGTGTACAGTGACAGTCAAAGGGGCGAGTGGGGAAGTAGCTTTTAAGCACGGTGACTATGGATTGGAGCACAAATCAAGTGGATGGGAAAGCTTGAAATGAAACTGAGCAGTGATGATTCAGAATTCTAAACCCAATAAGTCACAGGTTGCAAGGTGGAATCTTAAATAGGCCATTTAGTCCATCTCTGTCTGTGCTGGCTCTCCGTTCTATCGCTTGACCTATTCCCCAGTAGCTCTTCACATCTTTCCTCTTCAGATAATGATCCAATTCTCTTTGAAACATCATGATTGAATCTGCACCCACCATACTCTCAGGCAATGCATTCCAAATCCTAAACACTCGCCATGTAACGTCCCCAGTCTATCTTCATGACTTAGGTTCCTCATCCTGCTGTGAATCTTTTCTTCAGGCCTGTCCAATTCCTTCCCAAAGTTCGGTGTCCAGACTTGGGGCCCACGACTCTGGGTGTGATAACAAGGTGTGGAGCTGGATGAACACAGCAGGCCAAGCAGTTTCAGAGGAGCAGGAAAGCTGACGTTTCGGGTCTGGACCCTT